AAGCACGGACCCTTCGATGCCCTCTTCGTCCTCGGAGATCTCTTTGCTCCGAGCGATGCGCGGGATCGAAGCGAGCAACAAGAGAGAGACCTCGTGGAGGGCACAATCACTTGTGAGTGCGCTTCTGAATAAAGAGCGCATCTGGCGCCCAGTGAGGTTTGGACTTGTCTGACGCTTGCAACCTGTGGGTGGCATTCACAGTCCCCATCAAGACGTACTTCATGCACTCATCGACCGTCTCAGAGTCCATCATTGAGCGCCTGCACTCCAGCGTCGAAAATATCGAAAGCGCGAGCTCTGGCAGGGTCACGAGAATAGCAGAGAATCTCTATTGCATTGGCAGACAGGGAGTCGCTAGGATCGGCAGGTCTGGGCCTGTAGATGGCTCAGCAAGCGAGGGTTTGCAGGTCGCGTGGATAGGTGGATCGTGGAATGGTGCTCTCAAAGGGGTCAGTGATGAGCACTTGCTACTGCCCTGCACGCGCGCATACATGCTCACAGCCCTCGTGCCTGACCAGGTACCGGCGGAGGATGCTCTGAAGGCGCCCTTCATGACCCGAAACTCTATCGAGTCGCTGCTTTCGCATCCTTCCTTTGAAGACCGAGACGCATTGATTGCGCGCGCTCAAGCAATGTCGAGCAGCAGCAGCAGCACATCTAACGGTGCACCGGCCACTCTGAAAGAAGCGCGCGAAGCCGCGCAAAGAGCGACAACAAGCTCCGAAGCGCTCACAGAGGCCAAAGCTGCAATCGCAGCGATACCACCCATCGACATTCTGCTCACAAATGCTTGGCCTAGCGGTATCAGTCTCTTTGTGGCGGAGGAGAAGCTGCCACATCCGACTGCGCGCACATGGGGCTCGCCGGCAATAGCCACGCTGCTACTTCGAGGAAAGCCACGCTACTGCTTCTCGCTCGCTCCTGGGCCTGAAGGTGGGGTGCTGGACTCGAACGGAGGAGCAATCGATGGGATCATAGGTCTCGACATGTCCACACGCCGAACGGGCGTGTACTTTGAGCGACCGCCATACAAGAACTCTCCTTATGCGCATGTTGCGGCCTCATCTACTCGCTTCCTGAGCATCGCCAGGTTCGGAAATGCGGACAAGAAGAAATGGTTTGGAGCTTTCAACCTCGTGCCTGCCATCGAGATGGACCGCTTGCAAAAAGCAGCAGCTGGAAAGGTTCCGGACGGATGCACAGCCAATCCTTTCGGTAGCTCTACGCCTGGTGGAGCGAGCGGCCGATCATCACAAGCTGTAGCGTTCGCGAAGAGGGAAAGAGGAGATGGGGAAATCGATGCGTTGGATTCAGGAGCCAATTACAGGTGGGCCGGACAGCCTGCCCGCGGTCGCGGCAAAAGGATTCGGCGAGGTGAGTCCGCTTGAAAGCAGCGGTGGCTAGCGTCAAGCCAAACGTTTGACACGAGCGTGCGTGGACATGTCACCTTTTTTGTTTCTCACTTTGAAACAGACCCTCACGATGGCGGGGTTAACGGGCTGCCACAGAAACCTGATGTGCCTTTGCCTCCTGGCCTCTCGCGCAGAGGCCCGATCATACCCGTTGGGCCTGCCGACTGCTGGTTCTGCCTGAGTAATCCACAAGCGGCAAAGGTGGGTGGGCGGTATTGCAGAGAAGTTTTGCCAGTAGTCTGGTGCTGATTACTTTTCGCCATCGCCTGCTGCTTTTCACAGCACTTGATTGTCTCAATAGGTACGTCGCCCAGGCTGGGAGCAGTGTCATGTATTTGTGTGCTGATGTAGTTTGTTCAACGCCCCTCACAGGTACCGAGTGTTACATCTCATTGCCAAAGGGCCAACTGCCCTCCAGCTCCGATGCCGACTCCAACGTGCCTGGCGGTGGTCACGTCTTGATAGTGTATGTGATGGCCCGGCCGCACTGCAAACCGTGCTCCCTAGACTGACGCTGGCGGGCCGCGCACGTATCGACAGTCCTATCGCGCACACACCGTCCATCTTTGCGCCTGAGCCTAGCCAATCCAAAGCATTGCACGCAGAAATGAATGCCTGGCGCAAGGCCATCTCGCTCGCCTTTGCGTCTTTTGGCAGCGTCGCGGTTTCTTGGGAGATTGGACGTTCGCCGGGAACGAACAGCACGAGGATAGGTCATCTACAGGCACAGTCTGTGCCGGTTGCCAAGGAGCTGGCCGGCGAAAGTCTGGAACAATTCTTTAGAGACAGTGCCAAGGAGTGTGGGTACGTCTTTGAAGAGAGACCGGAAGAAATTAGCAGGAGACTCGACACGAGCCAACAGGATGGGGACGAAAGGCAAAAGCTGGGAGATTATTTGAGGGTGGACTTGGGCGAAAAGACTTGGATGTTGGACATGTTGCCGGAGATGAGGGGACATTTCAGCTTGCAGTTCGTCAGGTGAGATGCTTGTCTGGCCCTCGCCGTCAGATGCATCCATTGCATAGCTATACCACCTGTTCGTGCTGACGCTCCTTTGCTCGCATCACGTGGCTCAGAGAAACGCTGGCGAGGTATCTGAAGAAGCCTGATCGGGCGGACTGGAGAAAGTGCGCTAGGTCAGACGCTATAGAGACGGCAGAGACGAACGCGTTTAGAGACGCCTTTGAACCTTTTGCAAAGGAAGTTGTGGGCGAAGAGGAGGATGCTTAGCTCGACATCTGCCTCACCTCTCTCTCCAACAAGCGCTCGTGAGAGCTCGATGAGTGCACGTTCGATGCGGATCTCCGCCAAGTTCGTCCTCCTCAATATGGACTCGCGCTAGCATCGACGCAATGACATGATCTTCTCTGCGGAACGGCATAACGTGCTGCACGGAGGCAAACGAGCTCGAGTTTGATTGGCGTGGACCTGGCGCAGGATCGACGATCCTCTTCCGCGGGTTCGTGATGGGGGAAAGCTTGCGATGTGTG